GCTCCTACAAAACTCAAATACTACTCCTGTTGAGGGGTTCTCAAGCATGTCTCACCCTGGATCAAACTGCATAGTAGAGGCAATAGCGCTGCGCAACTGTGTTCGGCCCAAAAGACTCACATCATACTCCTGTCGCTCATGACGTTTCTCCAAGTCGTATTTGTCCGTTTCAAGTTTGCAGATTCTTTGATGGAGTTCCTTGATTTTTGCTTTCAGATCGGCAGCTGAAATTGCGGACGCTTCCGGAATGGCGTTGCGAATTCCGATCATGAACACCTGAATGGAACAGAGTTATGGAATGAGTGAGTGTTGAAAAACCCTATTGATCTTTCCCCCGTTTTAAATGAGTTCTATGTGATCCTCTGCGTGAAGAATGCCCCGAAGCAAACACGCGAGTTATGAGAGGCGAAATCGGGGGCCAAACTGTGGTTTGTGTAGCTCTAGGGGTACGCTTGCGGCGGACACTGAAATGCCCCTTTAAACCCTGCCCCTCGGGAGAATTTGAGTGGATTTCTACTTTACTCGTCAACCGTTATTGAAAAATCATTGAAGCGACGTCATGATAATCCCAGTTACACTGAAAAAATGGAAACTCCAAGGCAGCGTTCAGACTTCGCGACGGCAGCGCTTCGGTCGCGCGTTCGACGCGATCGATCAGTCGAAAGCATGCGCATCGATCGCGTCGAACGCACGACCGAGGCGCTGCCGTCGGGAAGTCTGAAAGGTGCCTAAAGACCTCGTTACTACTGATGAAGGATTGAAATTTATTGCAGTTCATAGCTTGCTCTGACCAGCTTACCAGAATTCCAGCTATAGTAGCGAAACCGTTGTCAAATCTAATAAGAAAAGCCGCTTGATGGCGGTCAGGAGGATTGCTGCAGCGACACATATGGACTAGTTAACGCGGCCTGCTGCAGCGTTTCCATGTTGAATCAATCAGTTCAGCGTGGGATTGCCACGCAATGCCGCGCCGCCGCTAAGAGGATCTCCCGACCGATACCACGTTAGGACTGTTGAATACGGTTTCATACTCGTGACAGCATGGCCGATTGCGGCGGAATCGCTATGCGATAAGAGCGATCGCGCGATCACCGATGCTGCTCGGCGAAGTATGAACGGCTGTCAAAGGAATTGGAAGTTTATTGGCGGTAACAGTAGCTTATCGGCACACTGCCGGCGATTAAAGATAACCTCATGAGCAAATCGGTGGCATTTCGATCCTCCCAGGGACGACATACCTTCTTAGCCTCCTCCTGCTGCTCTTTGGTCATACCCATCTCCTGTTTTGCTTGCAAATTACCGAATCTTGTGCCAGTTCTTGCTCGCCCCGGTCATGTGAGGTATGCCGTGAAATTTCCTGAGAACGAAAATTGCGACTTATTCTATCGATAGGTATCCCCACAAAAAATTTGATCAACCGCACCTTCCACCTACTCCTCCCGCGAAACTGGCACCGCTCATTTGTTGACGCTTACTCTTTTCTTCTTCTTTCTTTCTCTTCTCCTCCTCTAGTCGGGCACGACGTGCTTCCTGAGGAGAGAAAAGGTCTCAAAGATGTTTCAGCAGAGTTAATTCTAAAGAGGTTCTGGTAGGTGGGAAGAGAGCAAACTCACCTCTTCTTCCTTTCGTCGTTCGTCTTCCTTGCGCTTTTTCTCAGCCTGTTCCAATTCTTCCTGCTCACGTTCTAGTCGTCTACGCTCCTGTTTCTCTTTTAGTTTTTTCAGCTCCTCTTCTTCAGCTTCTCGTTCCTTCTTTCTTCTTTCTTCATAGCTCTCCAGCTTTGCCTTCTCCTCATCCTCGTGACGTTTCTTGGCAGCCTAAAGGATCAAAGGTTTTCAAACAATCTGTCCTTCTCTTGGTACGTCTTATTAGTTCTACAGTTGAAACTGGAGGGAGGGCGACCGGGCAGAGAAATCGCTAACTTTCGCCACGAAAGATGGGTGCGACGTTTTTTCTTAAAACTCGTCGTTAACCTGTCGACTGGGTCGGACCAGACTTCCAGTAGACCTCGTCCATCGTAGAGTATCAATGACTATTGCAATTCTGAATTGGCCTCGTTGTCGCCATCTACTACGTCGGAGCCATCGTCATTTTGCGGCGCGACCGTCGCATGCGCCAGCGCTCGTGAATTACGATTCTCAGTTCCATACTGCATCTGAAAAGTTTAAACCGGACACTAGTCCATTGCAGTGCAGCATTTCCTCAACTTCGTGTTTACAATATGAAGGCTAAGAGGTCGTGAATTCAATATTTGAGAGCTCGCACCTGTTCGCTGCAGATCCAGGGCGCGTGTCAGCAGCCAGACTTGACGCAGCGCCTCCCTGCCCTTTTTTTTTCACCAATATGCCTGCTTCAACAACTGTAGAAAACTGTTAGCGTCGCCAAAAGACCTGGGCCATCGAACACGCCCCAGATCACAGCGAAAATATCTATAAAAAAAACACGAAATTGTCTTGCAAATAGGATTGGTAGTCCGCATGATCCTTGTTTCGGCATGACTTTTACTCGAATAGCCAGATTTTGGACGAGAGTTTACAAACTGCCTACTTCCCGCTCCCTCTTACTCACTTTGAATATTTGACGCAGATCAGCATCTGATGAAGAGACCAACCACACAACCTCACAACATAGCTTTTTTCGGTTCGTGAAGTACCCGTTCCCTCATCTTGGAAGCGCGTATCATCAATCGCTGGCGACTGCACAAAAAAAAAATCAAACTTTAGGCCTTTTTTCCACTAAGGAAGTCTTCGAGAGATGTCACTTTCGCGATTCTATTACAATGGCTGCTTAAGTCCAGATGCACTAGTTTCAGTCCACGGCTGGCGGAATCTCGGTGTGGCTGACGGACCCATCACCACTAGTTGCTTCCACACTGTATTTGTTCTTTCTTTCTCCTATACCAGTTGTGAGTTTCATCGTTAAGTGGTTCATATATAGTTTACTGGCAAGCGTGTTACCCAAACAATCCGCGGCTATGGGCAAACGCTGAGCGCTCGCCTGTATTTGAACGTCCAAGCCCTCGAATACATGTTACAGAGCCTGAACCTTTCATGCACAAGATACTATGCTATTTTACTCCACCCAAGCAGTTTTTTTTGTTCTTAGGCTCAGTAATTATTGTATAAGCAGGAAGTCGAGACTACATATTACGCAGTTCCATTGAGTCATTGCAGGGGAATTTGAAACGCCGCCATTTTTCATCGCGGATTTTGAATGTGAAACTATCCCGGAAAGATTGTTGCTTACATATTTGTTGTACTTACTATGTTTTATTAAGTAATTGCTGCCTAAGGCAGGTGTCAGCTCCGAAAGTTATCACAAGAATGCTGAATTAGTAACAAAAGTAAGAATCCACGTGGAACTCGAGCCCAACCTCAGGCTCCGGGCGAGTGCGCTACCCTTTACGCCACCAGGTCCACCTTTTACCCTCTCAGCTTGATGGCTTTTATGTACGAACCAGGTCATCTTGTTGCTTACGGTTCATACGGAGCTATTCTCTCTTGCGGCCACTGAATTCATCGAGCTATCGGCGTTTATCACTGTTAGCCTGCCTAGATCTAGCCCTTGTTGTAATCTGAGCAAATAGTCTTGAAAGTGCTCGTTCGCCTCGCTACTGAATAACATCCGCATGTGACAGACAGGGTTTACGGTGCAATCCTGGCCTCTGAAGATTATGACCACGTCGAAACATCGGATGAATTATCCCAGTGGAAATCCTTGAAAGGCACCATAACATTTACAAAAACTAAAGACGCCCAGACCACAACAAGAGAGAAGCCGGAGTCGGGGGGTATTTGTGTTCAAATGCTTTTCTTCACGACATTTCACCCATAACCCATAACGACAACTGAAGGTGGGAAAGATGGAGCTCTCGCCCTTCATTGAACCCTCTCCGGTATGCGCCACGCATTCCACTTCCATTCAAAATATTGTTGTTTGTATGTGATATGGCCTATATAATGACTTGCGGCCTGCCATCCGTTTCACTACAAGCATGTGACGGAGAGCAGACCAGAGCAGGTCGCTCGTTGAGGAAGCCCAGCGATGGGGTGGTTTTTGGTTGGTGGAGAGAGGGAGGGTCGTTTCTTGGGTATGAGAAAGCGTTTCCGCTTGTTGACGTTTTCGAACTTTCCTGCGCACTGTATTTCTCCCTCACCTGCCGCTGGACGGCAGCTTTTTGGGAAAAGGGTGAAGAATCAAAAAAAATCTCGAGAAATGATTGGAAGTGGAAATAGTTTGAAGACATGGTAGGTGGGATAGAGCAGAAGTCGAACCAAAGGAGGAACTTCCGAGGGACGTCGTATTTGCAAAAATTCTCCCCAATGGCAAATAATGCTCTGGAATAGAAATAGTCGTGGACCCGCTTTGCACCTCCAAAGTACTGAGAGCCAAATTTGTCGCCAGTTTTTTTTCGTAGCACACTGGGGCCTGTAAAGCCTATTTCGAATTTTTATTTTTTTCTCGCTATGCTGATTACTCGCTTTCAGAAAGTTTGAAAAGTATTCGCTGTTGATCTAATAATTAGAACAATTGTGCCACATGCTTGATTAATGTATCCAAATTTCAGGTATGTCTAGCGCCATTCAACTACGCCACAGAGATATCGCCTTGCGGACTTCGATCTACCGACCTCTATCTCACCATTGTGCTGTGTTCGTGGTTCGTTTTTTCTCAATGATCGTTTTATGACGCAGTTCGCCCACGGGGAGGAGGGGGGGCTCTTGCACTTTTTTGCTTCACCAATTCCGGTTTACAGGTCTCACTCTGGTGAAACCTGTGAGCTCTTGTAAAGCTGGAGCAAGCTCGTCGAGCCATCATGGTAAAACCTGTCAACTCAAGAAGAGGCTCTCTAGATGGGTCGACACGTCGATGGGAAGTAGCAAAAGTGCAAGGCGGCAGCCCCCCCCCCGTCGCCGAACTGCGCCTCGTTTTATAAAGATGCATGTCCCGTGATTGGCTGAGGGCAACCAGGAACGTGAATAGCGTGGATTGGTCCACAGAATTGTATGATGTACCAATTTTGTCGCTAGATCGTGCTCGAATGGATGCTAGGATGTTTCTTTTCGCGTAAGTCCGGTCGTGAGACTCACTACGGGCCTGAGATGAAGGCAATGGACATCGGTGTCTGTCGTCTCCCTCTTATCTCTGTTCTCTCGATACCTCGCCATCCTTCCTCACCATCGGGCGCCCCTTGTTTCCCCGTCATGTACAAAGTTCGAAACCAGTCGCGAAAAGTAGAGTGTCAGTAACTGCGATCGGTGTGAGCCATTTTGCTCTTCGAAGTAAGAGCGTATCTTATAAGCAGTTATCGTCTTATCCATCAATATGTATAGCTGCGGGACGAGATCTCGTGATTGAGCTACCCTTGTACTATCTCTAGCGCAGCGATCAGGGCACGTAATGCCGCTGAAAGAAGTTTCTGTAAAATACGACCTTCCACAAATTTCCTTCCCTGGTCCGTCTCCTTCCCGCTTCTCCATCTTACCGTCTCACTCTACCATCTTACTAGCGTTCCCCAACTTCCTTCCACTTTTCCAAAAATTTTTTCCAATTTTTCTAAGGAAACTGCAAGTCGAGCGTGAAGGAGGTTGCCGCCAGTCGCCACCGAACAACTACTTCTACTTCCGAGCTAACCCTGATCCTTTCAATTAGCAAGAAAAATCAAAGATGAAGAACTTCTCAGACTGAGTACGACCTTCGCCCTCCCTCTGGAAATCAACTGCGACCCCCTCCCCCCTCCTGCTGGGGATTCCCCGTATTACGACCTGCCCCAGCAGCGACCTATCAGAAACCCTCCTCAGGAGGATCTATATACTCTACAACTCCTTTTCGTAGAAGTCTAATCCTGGACTCACCTGGCGTGTTTTACCTCAGCGTGCTCTTTCTCTTCTTCCTCCTCAACCTCTTCGACCTCTTCAACCTCTTCTTCCTCGACCTCTTCTTCTTCCTCTACCTCTTCCTCAGAGCTATAAAATCGTGTCATGTCATAGTATTATTTTGCATGTGAAAAATCATGTAGGACTCACTACACTTCCTCCTCGTCGGACATGATGGACCTAAAGTAATCATGCAATTAATCACTGTAAATAATTAATAAGTTACGAGTGTGGCAATGTTAACGGAATATTCAAGATTTGTAATGTTTTACTTGTGATTCGAGCAGAATTAGCCAAGTATTTACAGCAATCAATCGGTAAAATGCTTCGTTTTTCGGGGTTTAAGCCACCATTTCTGAGCGCTGTGGATATTGAAGAACTTCCTCTAGACTGGGTGTTGAGCAGTTTCAAAGCCGTCAATATAGCTATCATCACCCAGGGTTCTGAAAAAGCTCTCTTGGGCCCCAAAATAGCCCTCAGTAGGGGCGGTTTTTACCCAGGAAAACAGGACATATATAGAATTTCGGAAAACAAATCTGGAAGGGGCACATACATATTTGGGGTAGTATGCGCGAGAAGGAAAGAATAGCAGAACGATCGGAGGACTCTCACCCAGAGGAAGGTGGGAGAGTTGTGTAGATCAGAAAATGGCGCAGTTTGGCTTGTGGGGGGCACCGAGTAGTACTAGGCCTTCAAGCTTGAACGGGCTGCACTGAGAACACCTATTGGTTCCTGTGAGAAATTGGTGCAATCGGTATTGTACAATAGGAATTGGTATGGTTCAAAATCGCCCTCCAAGCTGAACAACGCCCAGAAAACTGCTGAGAAACTTCTAATTTTCCGGGA